ACACACACATATATATATATATATATATAAACAAAACCATAATGACCTTGTCAGATGTAGCTCAGGTTATGGGACAAATTCTAAACATTTGCACACACATATATGAGTTTTTAACATTAGTTGTATAGACAAATATTGTTCTGATAGTGTTCTGCTCTGCAGGGTTTGTATGTGAGTAATCGCGAGGGCCCGTCATGAGCCGTCCACCCTCCATGCAACCGCAGATGTGCGGCCCCTGGGAACTGAAAGAGCGGCTGGGAACCGGAGGCTTCGGGAATGTCACACTCTGGCAAAATAAGGTATAATATGGTTCCTTTTTTCATTAAAACAAAGAACTGAAAGAGCGGCTGAGATACAGAAAAGCATTTCACATTCATAAATCCTCTGCAGTGAATGGGTGCCGTCAGAATGAGAGTCCAAACAGCTGATAAAAACATCACAATAATCCACACCACTCCAGTCCATCAGTTAATGTCTTCAGAAACCAAAAACTGTGTTTGTAAGAAACAAATCCATCATTGCGATGATTGCTTCCAACTAATATACGAGTCCTCTCTCCATAATATTGCTTGCGCCAGTGAAAAAGTCTCATCTGGTCTGAATCAGGAGAGAAATATGCACAAATCAAGCACCGTTTACAAGCCAAAACAGCTCTAAACAAATATGTGGCTGGATTTTGATGTGAGAGGACAAAATGAGATGGACTTTTTTACTGGAGGAAGCATTATTATGGATTATGGACTCGTATTTTAAAGAAGAAGCAACGGTTTGAAGTTAAAAACGTCTTGATGATGGATTTGTTTCTTACAAGCATACGGTTTTTGTCTTCTCAAGACATGAACTGATGAACTGGAGTGGTGTGGATTACTTGTGGATTATTGTGATGTTTTTATCAGCTGTTTGGACTCTCATTCTGACGGCACCCATTCACTGCAGAGCATCCATTGCTGAGACACTGATGCAATGCTACATTTCTCCAAACCTGTTTGCATGAAAAAAAAAAAAAAACTCATCTTCATCTTGTATGGCCTGAGGGTGAGGACATTTTCAGTAAAACATTTTTATTCATACATACTTGTGAATGCTGGAATAATATTCCTCTCAGGCATTCAGATTAGTTTTAGGGTTTCAACAACATTCTAATCAGCTTTTCATGTTGCTATGATTTTAGGGCTGAATTATGGCATGATAAAGTTGGGGATGTTGTTATAACGGGATTAAAGTTTTGTATTTAAAGTGAATCAGGCTGATTGGACAAACAGAAGTAGATGACTGTAAAGCCGTTCTCATGACATTCAGCATGCGTCAGTGTGCATTTACTGCCCGCTGTGCATTAGGATCACAAGGACCGGCAGATGCATTACACTGATTTATTGTTTCCTGTTCAAATACATAGTGAAACGCATATTTTCATATAATATATGTGGCTGCAGATGATCACTTTCAGTGTGGAGAAATGTACTCTATAATTATATTAATTTATGATAAACGATTCACGCTTCATATTGGAAATCTGTTACTTAAAGTCTAATTTAATGAAAATTAAAAATAAAGTCTAATTTTATGAAAATTACTTCAGAAATATTTAACATTTAAGATCAGATTTCATCTAAAATTTGTACATTTTTCATTTAAAATTGGTTATTATAACTTGGTTTCAGTTAAAAATGGTTATTATAAAATGTGTTTATGCATATATTTATAAAATTATACATGAATGCATATATATATATATATATATATATATACAATTTGAGGTTGTAGTCAGGGTTATTATCATTAACGTAAACTGAAACCATAAAAATTTGACTACTTGAAATAAAATAAAAAATAGAATAAAATAAAATAAAAAACTTGCAAAGGCAACATTTCTCACTTTTGTATTAAATTAACTAACACTAACTAAACTAAAACTTAATAATAAAATAAAAGCTTGCAAAGGCAACATTTCTCACTTTTGTATTAAATTAACTAACACTAAATAAACTAAAACTTAATTTTAAAAAATATATAGATATATAATTAATATAAAAAATGAAATCGTATTCAAAATGTTAACGAAAACTATAATAGTATATCAATGATACTAAAATAAGACTGGTTGTAGAATGGCACAGTGATTGACTAATAGTTTATTAGGATTGCTATTCCAGACTCAAAGATGTTGATCCAATAGCATGTACTATGTAACTAAGTCACATTTCATGTTTATTTGTTTCTCAAATTGGGGTCACAGCGCTTTTTTTTTTTTTGGTGGTCTGCCGGTAAACAGCCCACCGACGTCGTCCCACCCCATCCTGGATAAAGGTGTGTGAAAGTCTTAAAATAGAGGCACTTCAGATTCCCATAATTTAATCTTCACAGCACTGGGATTTTAACAATGAGATGTTCTCAAGAAAGAGGAAATGCATCTACCTGCTGTGTCCCACTTCCTGTCACGGGTGACCTCATGATCACTCACTGCCTGAAACTGGCATATATTCTCACACGCACACAGGTTTACGGAGCATGTAGTCTTTAAGGAATGCTCAAGTGCATTAAACATTAACAGCTTTAATTAGTGCTGTTTGTTTGGTAGGTAAATCATCACTAGGACTCAGTGATGACATGTTGTTGAGGAGAGGAGTGTGCTGGTGCTTTACTAAATGATCAGACGCACCATTTTCACCTTCTGGACCATAAAACAGGTGAAAAAAATCCCAAGGATGGACCTGATCCATATCTACAGGTCAGAAGATCAGGTTTTATTGTCTGTGTACATCCTCTCCAGCACAGACTCACACCCTTTTATGGTCAGTAGTATGACATCGTGTCATGTTACTAATAATTAGGGTGTCGGTGAAGCGGATGTTGATGACCACTCACTGAAACCAGTGTGGACGCTGTGCATGTGCAAACATCTGAGACCAGCTTGAATAATCAAATAATAAATGAAGAGCGGAAGCATTTTCACTAGTGGACTCAGAGGTTTGGACCTGTCAGTGCAGCTAATTAAAGACTCCCGATGTGATGACATTGAGTTTACTAAGTGCAGTGCATCATGTTCGCTTACTCACCTGATTGCATTGGTTTGTCTCTTTCTCCCGTTTCCGCATGATCTCACCGGTTGTCATAATTCCTGTCATGAGGAGAGACGTGAACTAAAGGAAGTGAAGTAGGAAATGGGCAAGGTGGAATTCAAGTGAATTCACTTTTTGATTTCCTCTCTGAATTTCACTTTATTCGTCACTTTATATATATTCATAAATATATAGTCACACTTTAGTTTAGGGACCTATTTTCACTTTTAACTAGTTGCTCATTAGCATACATAATACTAGCATATTGGCTCTTTATTAGTACTTATAAAGCAAATATTAATGCTTTATTCTGCATAATATTTTAGATCCCTTAATACAACCCTAGGCCTAAACTTAACAAATAGTTAAAGTTAAACTCAACTAACTGTTAATAAGCAGCAAATTAGGAATTTATTGGGGCAAAGGTCGTAGTTAATAGTTAGTTAATAGTGAGAATTGGTCCCCAAACATAAGTGTGACCATGTATGTCAAAAGTTTTGCTTGCGAAGTTTGTTTGTGGCTCTTTCTTTGCAATAAATGACAGTTTAATAATAATAATAACAATACATTTTATTTGCAATGCAACTTGCTTATACTCAAAACGCTGCGATAAATGACTTTAGTAATATTAATACATTTGAAATCATTTTTAATAATAATAAATGTATATCTATTCATCTATCTATTTATATCTATCTATCTATCTGTCTATCTATCTCTCTATCTATCTTTGTATATGTATATATCTATCTATATATATATAGTTTCAAGAAATCGACTAAAATACCTTTTTAGTAATTTTTTTACCATGCATTATGTATTATTTTGCTTGTTTTGATGTATTTAGTATAAGCAAGTTGCATTGTGAAAAAAAATATTATTATTATTAAAGTGTGTGTCGTTGGAGCGTTTTGAGTATAAGCAGGTTGCATTGTAAATAAAATGTATTGTTATTATTATTATTAAAGTGTCATTTATTGCAAAGAAAGAGCCACAAACAAACTTTGCAAGCAAAACGTTTGACAAAAAGCAGTTTGCTAATGTTTAAACAATAGATCATTTGCTGAAAATGAAGCTTAAATGTATTGTGAGATGTTGTGAAATACTAGTGGATCATTTCCACTTTACCATTTTTTGTGGCTGCTATACATCAGAATACCATGGTATTACCATCTGATACCATCACATTTCTATGTTACTGTTAATGTTTTTAACTATGAATTTGCCTTTTGTCTCTGATGTTTCCTAACATGTGTTGGTATATCTGTGTGTGTGTGTGTGTGCAGGAGAGCAGTGTTCAGATCGCTATCAAACAGTGCCGGCAGGAGCTCAGCGCCAAGAATAAGGGCAGATGGAGTTTAGAGATTCAGATCATGAAGCGGTGAGTATATCCTGTCCAGAGTCAATTAATAAATGTATATCTATTCATCTATCTATTTATATCTATCTATCTATATATCTATCTCTCTATCTATCTTTGTATATGTATATATCTATCTATATATATATAGTTTAAAGAAATCGACTAAAATACCTTTTTAGTAATTTTTTTACCATGCATTATGTATTATTTTGCTTGTTTTGATGTATTTAGTATAAGCAAGTTGCATTGTGAAAAAAAATATTATTATTATTAAAGTGTCATTCGTTGGAGCGGTTTGAGTATAAGCAGGTTGCATTGTAAATAAAATGTATTGTTATTATTATTATTAAAGTGTCATTTATTGCAAAGAAAGAGCCACAAACAAACTTTGCAAGCAAAACGTTTGACAAAAAGCAGTTTGCTAATGTTTAAACAATAGATAATTTGCTGAAAATGAAGCTTAAATGTATTGTGAGATGTTGTGAAATACTAGTGGATCATTTCCACTTTACCATTTTTTGTGGCTGCTATACATCAGAATACCATGGTATTACCATCTGATACCATCACATTTCTATGTTACTGTTAATGTTTTTAACTATGAATTTGCCTTTTGTCTCTGATGTTTCCTAACATGTGTTGGTATATCTGTGTGTGTGTGTGTGTGTGTGTGTGTGCAGGAGAGCAGTGTTCAGATCGCTATCAAACAGTGCCGGCAGGAGCTCAGCGCCAAGAATAAGGGCAGATGGAGTTTAGAGATTCAGATCATGAAGCGGTGAGTATATCCTGTCCAGAGTCAATTTCCTGTTTTCTGTAGGTCAGTACAGTTCACACACACACACTCTCTCTCTCTCTCTCTCTCTCTCTCTCTCACACACACACACACACACACACAGACAGATCTGAAGAGGCATTTACATGGAAGTCTGATCAGCGTCAGAGAGGCTGGATCATGTACATTAAAAACAAACTATTACTGTTTTTGGTGCAAAAACTCTACAAACATTGTCAGTGGACTTCCTGGTGATTAAATAATAAATTAAATAATAAAAATAGAGTTTGCCGTGACCCATCAACAGTAATTCTGCTAATGACTACACCTGTGTTTTTTGGCTGATATCGTGTTGGTTTTCACGTCATAGCAGATGCTTCTTTAAAGAAAAAGCATCATTTTCATGGTATTTTTCCGTCTTTCGCCCACTGAATCTCTTCTATGTTTACCATCTTTTAATGTGCAAGCGACCACGCAAAGCCTTCCGTTGTTATTCGTCTATTTATATATGTTTTTATGAACAAAAGCTCTGAGCAAAACAAAGAGGGATGAATTTATGACACCACAGTAGTAAAAAGTGACCCAGTCTTGCGGCTGCAGCATCGGTTTGCGTCGTCACAACACCTTCAGGCTCATCTTAAATTAGGAGCGAGTGCATCTCTGGTTTTCTCGGGAGGTTTTCCTCCTGTTACTGGTTTAGGGGTGAGTTTGTTGTGGCCGTATTCATGTCCAGTTGTTTATTGGAAACTGCTTATTGTATTAAGGCGTATTTGGGTGTGATCACATGCAAACTATTATGAAGAAATATTATCAAGTTTTTGAAGGCTCTCCAGGGGACAGTTGTTTCATTGTACCATCTTTGTCAGATATTTTGGAGTTTAAAGTGTTAGTTCACCCAAAAATGAAAATGAAGCTATCATTTTTCACCATGGGGCCAGTTGCATAAACTGTGTGTTAAAACTGTGTGTTAAGAACTAGTCTTAGTAGTTTTTTCAGATTTAAATTAGACCAATGTTTTGTTTTTATCCAACTGACTTAAGAAAGGTATGACCAAAAGATAAAAAAAAGACTAAATTGTAAGATTAGCCTAAGCATTTTCTGCAACTGTGCTTCTTTCTTTACTGGAACACAAAATTAACTTAAAAATGTCTTGCACTCATTCATATAATAGCAGTGAAAAGCAACCAGCATCAAGATTTAAAAAAAATTGCAAAATTATCTCAGAATGGTCTCATGCGACACATGTTGTATATTCCAAGCGTTCTAGGGGTATACAATGGGGTTTGAAGAAAATGTATTATTTAGTGGAAATCCTGACCTTGGTGGCTAATCTTCTGTGCACAGCTTGTGTTTGTTGCAGTAAGTTATCATGTTTACATCTGCCATTCTGACTCATCTGACAACTGGAGCTATTCAACTCAGTGAAGAAAGTACACAGATAGTTTTTGGGGATTTCTGGCCATTGTATTTCATGTTGCGTTTTTAATAATCTCGATTTCGCAAAAGTGCACTGGTGTGCTTTTCTTAGATTTATTAGAAATGTATTTTTAATTGTTCATTCCAATGATTATGAAAACTAAATAATTGAGATAAAACAATTATTGTTGATCTCATTTATTTTTATTATTTTTTATATTATTTTCTTAAATGTGTGTATATATATATATATATTAGGGCTGTGCGATTAATCGAAATCGAATCGAAATCGCGATTTGAGACGTTGCGATTTCCTAATCGCAAAGCCTGCGATGTGGACGCGATATTACTCTGTTCCAGAGCATATGCATGACTGCCAGCCTTGAGTTGCAATCTTACTTGCCCTGGGCAAGAGTGAGCGCACCCCCAATCAGCGCTGCTCTAGGCAAGGCAAGGCAAGGCAAGGCAGGCAGGTTTATTTATATAGCACATTTCATACACAATGGTAATTCAAAGTGCTTTACATAAAAGAAAAGAAAAAAAATAATCACAACAATAAAACAAGGAATTTAAAAACTTTGAAAATGATTTTAAAAAATTGATTTAAGAGGTTTAAAATGAATTTAAGAAAACGATTATACATAGTAAGAAATACAGTTCATTTATTTATAAAAAAATAAAAAAATATTTTCTGGGAAATTCAGTAATTAAGTTAATTCTGTAAAAGTAGTTATACCATTATAATCTTGCCTGCTGAAGAAAAAAACAATAGAACCCCTCCCAAAACACAATAACAACTGTAATGGATTTCAGGGTTATAATGGGAATCTGTTTGGTTTTAATGTAAACTATAATGGTGTCTATTTGATGGATTTGGATTCTATTGGTGGGACGTAATCTGGCAGATGGCAACCAATAGAACAACAGTAATTCCTATTGGAATAATGCCCAAAACAAAAAATAATTTTGTAATGGTTTAATTACAGTATATTTAGTTCAAGGAAACCCACTGTTTAAAATCCACTGTTCTTTTTTTTATTAATTCAGTAAATGCATGATGTTTCCCAAGTCACTGAGTAATTGTGGTAAATCAATAATCACGTTCTCAATATTGACCAAAATAATTTTGATTATGATTTTTTCCATAATCGAGCAGTTTTGCCATATTTTATATATATTTCATATAATAATTATATAATATTTTATATTTTTATACCAATCTTTGGCCTCTTCCAGTGGAAAAAAGCACCATAGTACAGTAATGGTAAATTTTGTGGTACTTTGATACACACACAAGTTGATTCAAACACACACAGTGTTATTTATATTGAAAGAACATCATAGCATTACCAAAGCACATGTCCAGTAAACCTTAGTCATACTACTGTGGTTTTTATAGATTTTGATTTTTGAAGAATTCTTCATCCAGCACAATGGGTGCTAAATTTATTAACCTATGTGTTGTGAAAGAGTTAAATTGTGCTGTTTAATATGCATTTGAATAGTTGAAGTATTTCTGTGACGTTTTGGTGTGGTTGGATGGATTGTGCTACTTAACCAGGCTGCAGTGGTTGTGTGACGAGAGCGAGGGGTTGGGGGACGTGTTGGTTTTCTCAGATTTAAAGCAGGCTGTCCCCAGACTTGGTCTGAGCCACAAACCTGGACTCAAAACACCATCTTGTAGAGCTCAGTGTATAAAGCCAAACCACAGAGATCACACACACACACACAGATGTTTTTGGGGAACACACCCAGGCCATCTGAGTTTCTCTATTGCACACACTCTAAAAAATGCTGGGTTGTTTCAACCCAACTTTGGGTCAAATATGGACTAACCCAACTTTTGGGTTAAAAATTTAATGTAAAAATTTAACCCAACTGTTGGGTTAGTCCATATTTGACGCAAAGTTGGGTTGAAACAACCCAGCATTTTTAGAGTGCACATTCAGTGATCATCAACCCTTAATTAGGATGATATCAGTGTTGGGTCTCAGAAATGACCTTCAGTATCAGCTGCTCAACCTTTTTTGTGGAGGGAAAAGAACCCCATCATGTTTTCCAGGGTATTGACTGTATTGGCAGCAGCTCAGAAATAAAACTGACGTCAAAACAGCACGCAGTTTGATTAAAGTCACCCGTCGTGATAAATGACCAGTGATTGTCAGAGCGTGTTAGACTCTAACCCCGTGAGCAGTCATGCAATGATAACATACCATTTGTGATGAATCTTTGCTGTCTGTGTCAGAACTTTCCAACAAGGATCTTTCTCAGATTAAGATTCAGAGCGCTGATTGGTATAAGCTTTGGTCATCTTGAAACTCTAGTAACACTGCAAAAATGGCAACTTAATACATTTTTATTGGCCTTCTTGACTAGTTAAAATATCTACAAATCTTTCAAACAAAAAGCAACACTACATAAGATATTGTAACAATTTTCAAAAGCATGCATCTTTAATATGAGTGTATTTTGACTTACTGCAATGGAAAAATTTACTTATTTTCAGTTTAAAGGGGTCATGAACTGAGAAATCAAATTTCCCTTGATCTTTTGACATACAGGTCAATGTACTATAAAAACATCCTGTAAGTTTCAAAACTCAAAACTTTCTTGTTAGCTTAAAAACAGCTTTTATTGAAGCCAAGCTCAGAAAACAACTCGTTTTGGAATGTGCCACTTTATGACCTAAGAGTGTGGCTAAGCCCCACCTCCGCATGAGAAGATCAACGCCTGCTTCTACAGCACTGCCTCTTTAGCCCCGCCCACTTATACATGCACGTAAAAGGAGGAGAGGAAATACTAGAGAGACGCAAACACAGGATTACTCCATCAACAGAACCAAACAGATGACATTACAAGATCCCAAGACACTAGTGTAAGTTGTGAAAAATAGTCTTTGAATTGCCTTCCTCGTGATCCTAACATATCTAGACCAGACGCGTGTGCTGTTGCGTCATGTCGCGAATCCATTACTCTTTCATGTCATGAGCCCTTTAGTTTAAACAAGTTAAAAAAATTTGCGAGTGCAGATGCCAAGACAAGATACACTCTTATTCAAGATATGTAGAGTTTAAAGAAATTGCCTTTAAAGTCACAATGTATGAAAGGGCTTGAGGCTCAAAAAATGTGTGCAAATGAAACGTTCACAATAACATCAATAAGATGCATTTAGAAAACAGTGAATTTCCATTTAAAGTGACGCAATTTTGCCATTTTTAAGGTTCCTAATATTGTTTTGGGAGTCTCCTACAATAGGTTTACATGCATGCACGGTCAACAAATGCTTTTTTTCCCTCAAAATATGCATTTATCACCTAATTTTCCAGCGATTCTCAAACGATTCGTTCAAAGCAGTTCTAGATTCAGTCTCTCTAAACCCTTCCTTTCCTTGAGCCTGCTCTGCTCTGATTGGTCAGATGGCCCAGTCTGTTGTGATTGGTCCACCGCGTTCAGCTCGTGTCGGAAACGATTCGGCCATTGCCACAGTTCCGTATTTTGAACGTTCAATAGAAAATATCAACATCTATAATTTATCATATTTACAGGTTGTGATCAGTGGGGTCAGCTGATCCAAATAAACTGGACACTGATTCATCTCTCAAGAGCAAGCGTTTGTGAATCCCGCGTTGAACTCCCCGAGATTAGAGAAACAGTCGTCAGTAAAATGACGGGAACACAAAAAAAGATTGGGGTCGTACTGCTGTGATACAGTGGAAAAAATGACGACTCGTTTCAGCTGTTCAGAGTCGATTCTTTCTTTTGGGAGGCAATAACTTTATTTATTGTGCACTTTCGGCTTTACAAATTAGCAGATCGTTTACATTCACTTTCACATTACACACTACCTGTGATGTGCTCTATATTCAGTGCACTAGAAAAGAAAAGCTTAAGAGACGTAATGAAACGCCTCTCATGCAACTCACCCGTCTTTACTCAAGACCTAATATTTGTTATTACAGCAATTAAGTCAGAATGTTTGCCTGTGAAGGTTAAAACGAACTGTTTATGTTCTCAGATGATAGTTGTAGGTGTTGCCGCTGCAGTTCTGTTATGGTGCCTGGAATACATCTGGTTTTACTCCTCTTTGTCCTGAGCGTGTGTTTTATAGGTGGGCTTGCCAGCCGTCTGAATATTACAAACACATTTTTAATAACCACATTATGTAAGGCAGATTATGAGGGGTTTGTATGTACGTTGAGTTCTCTGTCTCTGTTCTGGCAGGTTGAATCACATGAATGTGGTGGCAGCGAGAGATGTTCCAGAAGAGCTCCAGAAACTGGCCACAAATGACCTGCCATTGCTGGCCATGGAGTACTGCCAGGGAGGAGACCTACGCAAGGTGTGGTGCTTGCAGAAATGTTTTTGGGCATGTACTATGGTGATAGCATGGGTTTTTGAACATGAAGCATAGTAATAACATAGTGTATGAATATTCTAATGATTTAGTTGTAGGGCTGAATGATTAATTAAAATAAAAAAATAAATGCACTGCATGTTTCAGAGTGAAGCGCGGCACTGTGTTCATTTACACATGAGCAGCTCATTATCCACAGCAACTCGGTTTAGTAAATTCTGCTCCACACAAAATCCTTCTCTGCATCTGCTCTGAGTTGCATTTGGAAACACAACATGCACCAACCATCTTCCCAAATTTGTAATGAGAAGCACTTATCAACAAAAGAGACGCTTTAAGGGCTCCCTACGGTTTTTGGTCAAAATAAATGTTTGATTGGTTCAGTGTTTGAAAATGAAGACATTAAGTCAGCCATAAATACTATTATTGTAATTTTGCAGTTGTAATGTAAAAAAAAAATATTAATATTATATTATTTTGTAAGTACTAGCCTAATTTTAGTAATTGTTTAGTAAAATATTGCAATAATATTTATTTTATTTTTATTTAATAATTGTTATATTTTTATTTAGTAATAATAATAATAATACTTTTTATTATTATTTTATAGCCATATTGATATAAACCGTTCTGCTCAAAAGTTGCAGAATCTGCGAAAATGCTAATAATTTGAACAAAATAAGAGGGATCATAAAAATTGCATGGTATTTTTTATTTAGTATAGGGATGCACAATATATAACTTAAATACAAGAAGCTCTAAAAGATTTTTATGTTAAATCTACGGGAAAAAAATGTTAAGGTTACAACTGCATGTGTGTGGGGAAAAAAACAGCAGTGATTGATTTTATTGTAGTTATTTTCAAAGCTTTCAAATGTACAAAAGGTTTATTTAGTTCCGACAAGTAAGATTTTGCTCAAAACTAACCACAATTAAAAACAATTTGTTCATAATCTCTGCACAGGAGAGACTTGGTGTTGTTTTTCAAACAAAAGGAAAGATTAATCGATATCGGCATATCGGCCAAAATGAGTCGAAAAATAACAGCATATCGGATATCGGCAAAAATCCTGTATCGTGCATCCCTAATTTAGCACTGTCCTGAATAAGCTATTTCACATAACAGATGTTTACATATAGTCCACAACACAAAATAACAGCTGAATTTATAAAAATTACCCTTTTCAAAAGTTTACTTAATCTTTCTTAATCATCTGTGTTGTTATAGCCAAATAAAACATTGTATGGGTCAAAATTATAGATTTTTCTTTTATGCCAAAAATCATTAGGATATTAAGTAAAGATCGGCGTTCCATGAAGATATTTAGTAAATTTCCTACTGGAAATATATCAAAACTTAATTTTTGATTAGTAATATGCATTGCTAAGAAC